ATTACTGACTTTATCTAATCCCCTTACCCCAGGACACTGGATTCCTCAAAGTACCAAAAACAGTAAAATATTGAAAATTTCCAATAGTTTCAACCTGTGGCTCTTCCTTTGGGGAGAATATTCTCAGAGAAACACTTTTTCCTCTTTTCTGACAGAACCACTAACACTTACATAGAGACAGGTGCATTTTGCTAATGCGATGGCCAGATGAAATGGGTTGCAACAGAACTAGCCTTGCTACCAAATGATGGCTGCTCTGTATATCAGCATAGCTATGCTACACATGATTCAAGATGTAGCTATAGCTGTTTGGGACCAGTAGTCACATCACCCCACACAACTCGCCAGCTACCCTAGTGGATTGCTCTTCCTTCTTGAGCCCAAGGAACAAAACTCTTCTTACTGCAGATAGTGAACATATACCTGAGGATGGTAACCCCATAACGAGGAGCTGGCAACAGACCTGAAAATGAAAATTATTCTCCTCTTTGTTTAAAATGACAACTGTTTTTATCTTGTCCTAGGAAAATAAACAAATTAAAATGTCTTAGTTGAAGTAATTATGGTTACTAACCTAATAGCTTTGGATTTTATTACGGATAACTAAAGAGAGAGGGATAATTCTTGCCTTTTTTTTTTTTTTTTAGAGATTTTTGCTATAGGGTGTGTGTGCTTGCCAGAGAGACAGAAGAAAGGATCCTTGCCATTTTAAAATACAAATGATGTGGAACAATTAGTCCCTAAACTAAGAGGGAAAATCATCTGGGGCCTAACCTGGTGGTAAGGTGGTTGGATCCCACGTGGTCAACCACATAGTTTGAATTCCAGAACTGGGGGCTTGAAAAACACGTCAGTTGCATGAATGTGCCCAGAATTCCAAAAAGAGGGCAAGGTGGAGGAGAAGGGATTGCAGCCTGACTATATCCTATGGAGTTTGCCTTCTTGCTTTCTCTCCCTGGAGAGGGCATGTGTCCTCTGGCAAAAATTTTTTAAAGTAGAAGAAAATAAAAATAAATAAAAGAATGATCATTTTTAAAAAAATCAACTAGTATACTTGAGGTAGAATCGGGTCATTGGGACCTGTTTCCATAACCAGGACTGAGAAATCTTTAGTCATGATTTCTTTTTTAGGTTTCTGCCAAAGGGCAGGCACGTGCACTCACTGGAGAGAGAGTGAGACAGACAGAAAGACAATGAGAGGGAAAGTAAGAAATCACCCCTCAGGAGTAATGGTCACACCACAATCCCTTCTCCTCCATTCTCCTCTCAGGATTTTGGGCACATATGCACATGTGCCTGGCATGATTTCAAGCCACTGGGTCCAGGACTCAACCATGGTCGACCATGTGGAAATCCAGCATGTTAACCACTATGTCACCAGCTGGCCCCCAGTCATGATTCTTCTTTGTCTTCCAGACCCTTACCTAATACTTTTAGCAACTTTTTCTCATAGACACTTTAGACCAAATGAACCTAACAGACATATACAAAACACTCCATCTCCCCCCCCCAAAAAAAAAGAACATAGACTATACACACCTCATCCCTTCTCTCTTACCTCAGTCAGCCTTAAGGCACTGTCTTGCACAAATGTGTTACTGTGCTGTTGTCCTGAGTTGCATGCTCTCCTTTCCAATTTGCTTCAAATGCTGAATGACCGAAGAACAGTCAACGTTGAGTTCTTTAGCAACTTCTCCAGTCGTAAGAGGATCAGCTTCAGTGATTGCTCTCAGTGGGTCACTGTCAACTTCTGATGGCCGGTCAGTCACTACACTCCTCATCTTCAAGACTCTCCTCTCCTTTACAAAACTTTTTGAACCACCACTGCACTGTTCATTCACTAGCAGTTCCTAGGCTTCATGTGTTGTTGATGTCGAGAGTTGTCTTCGCTGCTTTACGACCCATTTTTCAAATAAGAAAATCACTTGAATTTGCTTTTTGTCTAACATCATTTCCATAGTCTAAGGTATATACACAATAAACATGTAATAAGTCATTTGCAAAAAAAAGAAAAAGAGAGAAAATACACATTAAAATGATATCTAACCTAACCGCATTTATTTAAGAATGTGGATAATATCGAATGACAAATGTCAACCATTGCTTTTGCGCCCACCTAATAGAAGTATGAAATACCTTGCCCAACGTCCTGGAAACAGAAATCCAAAATATTATTTTAAAAGGAATACTTTAAATAATAAAAATACAAAATAATAAGATATATTTTTTATTCCCAGAGGGCATCTATGTTCACCAGAGAGAGAGAGAGAGCGTGCGCACTCCCCAATGGGATGTGGTCATGACTTAGGCCCTTCTCCATCGTGTCAGGATTTGGGAGACACACACATTCATCCTATGTGTGTCTTTCAAGCCACAGGGGCTAGGATTCAACCACAATCCAAACATATATATGGGATCCAACTCTTTAGCCACTAGACTGTGAGACCAACTCTAAAATAACAAAGATATTTTGAAGGAAATGAAACATGTGATAGCGCCAGAGCGATGAGCCAAACGTCACACATGAGCCAAGATGCCCTCGAGTTTAACACGTCAGTTATCATCCGCTTCAAGTGAGACTGCCATATAATTTCAGTGCATTAAAGTTGTTCATGCCAAGAGTATCCGGGTCGAATTTTGCAGTTTTCCAGTTTGCTCTAGAGCCATACAACTTCCTCATGAAAGGGAGGAACTGACAAAGCAACAAAAGTGGGTTGCTATTTTAAACCAGTACAGAAATAAAAGAAAGAGGACAAGAACCTGTGCTGGAATAGCACTGAGTCCTAAGAATGGTGATGTCCCTCGTTCTACCTTTTGTCCATACCTCAGGAGCCACGGTACTTCACCACACCCACTTCCACCCAGCAGACTCCCCCTCTTTTGTCAAGATAAAGTGTATACTTACTCTGTCTCTTTATGAAGAACTAACGATGCTTAAAACCAGGGCAATCTTTGTTGAGTTTGGGTTGGGTTTGTTTGATGTATTATTCATAAGACCATACAGGCTTTGAATGTCCTATTTCAACCCTATGTTTCCCATTACCACTATTCTTTTTAGTTGGTAAAATTCTGTAACCTAATACTTTTGGGGGATATAAATTCCACTTTTAGGAGAAATAACATCTTTCTCCTATTTTCTATTTATTTTTTGCTTTCCAAAGCAAAAACTTGATTCAAAGCTTTACACTTTCTTAGAGTACATTAATAAATGATGCATATATATATATATATATAGAAAACATAGAAATCAGATGATATAATTCACCTGTTGAAGAGAAAACATATGTGTTTTGGCCAGTAGGTGGTATGGTGGCTGAGTTACTGGGCTCCCCCCGTAATCCTGCGCCTAGTGTGTCTCTTTCTCTCTCTCTCTCTCTCTCTCTCTCTCTCTCTCTCTCTCTCTCTCTCTCAGCACATGTGCTCTATAGGAAATTGAAAAATAATAATACAGGGGGCCAGCAGTTGGCATAATGGCTATGTCGCTGGACTCCCATGTAGTCGACCGCGGTTCGAGTCCCGGACCCGGTGGCTTAAACTCACACCGGGCACGTGTGCGTGCGTGCCCAAGATCTTGAGAGGAGAATGGAGAAGGGATTGCGGCATGGCCATCCCCCCTGGGGGGTGATTTCTCGTTTTCTGTCTCTCTGTCTCTCTCTGTCTGTCTGGCGAGCACATGCGCCCTATAGCAAAAACCTCTCCAAAAAAAAAATAATAATAATAATATAGATGCATGAAATTTAAAAATAATTCTTTAAAAGAGAGAAAATGTATGTATTTATTTTAGTTGATGTAGAACAGGCATTTAATAAACTTCAACATTTTTTCACAAGAAAAATTAGCTAATTAGAAGTCAAAGAGAACTTTTTTTTTTTGGAGATGTTTTGCTGTAGGGCATGTGCGCTCTTCAGAAAGATAGAGAGAGACAGAAAGCAAGAAATCACACCCCCCCCGGGGTGGGGATGGCCATGCCACAATCCCTTGTCCATTCTCCTCTCAGGATCCTGGGCATGCATGTGCATACACCCCACGTGAGTTTAAGATATTGGGTCCGGGACTCAAACCATGGTTGACTACGTGGGAGTCCAGCGACATAGCCATTACGCTAACTGCTTGTCCTCACAGAGAACTTTCTTAATCTGATTTAGCAGACCATGGGATGAACTCCACAAGGTCACACAGCGTGGGCTAAGAAATAGGTTTTCCTGGGGAAACCAGCAACACAAGGGTCAGCATCTCCAGGTAACGCGGTGCCCCCCTCAGCCCATGCCAAGGCGTGCTTAGACCATGTACTGCTAACAGAGACATAATGATGTAGGAAAGCAGAGCTTCTGAGCATCGGCATTACCGACACTTGGAGGCAGATAATCCTTTGTTGCTGGGAGCTGTCCTGTTCATTGCAGGATATCTATCAATATCCCCAGCCTGTAGACACTGCATGTCAGGAGCACCTGTCCCAGTTGTGACCATCAGAAATGTCTCCAGACATTGCCAAAGTACTCTGGGGGCAAAGTAACCCATTTGAGAACCATTGCTTTCCCTCTTGCCACGTGAGATTGGCAGGGTTCCGAACACTTGGCGCTTAAAGGTCAGAGCAAATGTACATGAGGCCCAGGACACCCCCAGCCCTGCCATTCAGACTCTTGCCTGGGGGAACAGAGACCTGGGAAGAAGTGAGGTGTGGCTCCGGTTCAGGCACACATCAAGAGAGCTTTAGCAGAGAACATCGTGGAATTTAAAAGCAGCAGCCGGGCCATGACACTACCAGGCTGTGTGACCTTGGGCTATCTCCTTCCCTTTTGGTGCCTCTTTTCCCTTGAGACAGTTTGGTCCCCTCAGCGCCTAATGCTTTTATTTCTTACCTTGGTCTAGTGTGTGAAATAAGACAGTGAGCTCTTGGAAGTTTGCTTCTTTCTATTCCAGCCAGGGAACCTTGGGAGAATCCCAAGCACCTGCCTCCGAAAGGACGAACTCCCCCCCACCCCAGTCCCGGAAGGTCAGCGATGCTTTGCCATTGGCGGGTTGCAGCCCCGCCCACTAGCACGCCCACCAGGGACAATATAAAGCCAGGCTCAGCAGCTGTTCTCAGCCCCGCACCTACCAGCAGCATGTGTTCGGACAAGTTCGTGGTCTTCGCAGTGGTCCTTGTTTTTGTGGCTCTACTGGCTGGTGAAGGAGTCCAAACGGGTAAGAGAATAAGGTGGACCTGGGGTGGGGGTGCTGAGCTGGGGAGAGGCCCTGAGGAGCTCGCTGGGGCTGTGGGCATGGCCGGAACCTTTGGCTCATCCATGGCTTCCTCTACCAGATCAGGAGAAAAAGGGAGTTTGCCCAGTGAATAGGGTGCGCTGCATCAAGTCCCACTTCCGGTCCGACTCACCTCAGTGTCTTAGTGACCAAGACTGTTGGGGGAAGATGAAGTGTTGTCAGGTGTGGTGTACCTTACTTTGTGTGGATCCCAAGGCCATGCTAGACCAGGGTAAGGAGCCCTACCCGCCTAGTGTGGCCCTCTCACTGACCCTGCCTCTGTCTGTCCATGCAAGCACCCAGAAATCATGCCAGGGGTTGCGGGGAGGGGTTGAGAGTTGGCAGGGCCCTTGAAGTTTAACTAGTCTGAATATCCCCATTGTACAAAGGAGGAAGCAAGGATGAAGACTCCTCAAGACCATGCTCAGAGCCAAGACAAGAGTCCAGGCCTCTGGGCTCCTCCCCCTCTACTAGGTGTACTCAGAAGTGAGCTGTGCCCTTTCCCTCTGGGAGTCTCTCTCACCTGCCCATGAGGGTAGGAATGCGGGAGAGAGCCCAGACCCCAGGGACAGCTTCCCTTCTCTTCCCTGACCATCCTCCCCTACCCTCATGAATGGGATCGGTGCCCTTGTAAAAGAAGCCCCAGAGAGCTGCCCTGCCTTTCCACCATGTGAGGGCACAGCTAGAAGGCCCATGAGAGCAGAAATGGACTCTCAGCAGACACTGAATCTGCTGGAACCTTGATCTTAGATTAACCAGCCTCTAGAACTTTGAGAAATAATGTTGATTACAAACCCTCAGTCTATGGTAGTTTGTTACAGCAACCCAAACAAACAAACAAAATCCTATCCCGCAGCCATGGTGGCACAGGTGTGCTGCAGCAGTTCACCAGGCTGGAGGCCATATGGAAGATCAGGGTTTAGGTCCCGAGTCAACCTTTATTTGCTGGGTGTGCACAAGTATATCCGTACCCTGGCTGGCTGGGAAGGCTGGGGGAGGATTGTAGCATGAGGCCTTGTTAAGAGTAATTTTCTTCTCTTCTCTTCTCTTCTCTCTCTCTCTCTCTCTCTCTCTCTCTCTCATAAAAGAAGGAAATAAACTTTAAAAAAAAAAACTCCTATCCAATACTGTGAAAAAATATATAAAATACCTAAAATTAACATACCTAGAAATGTACAGGAAGTTTCTGAGGAAAAAAAACCTGCCATTTACAAAATGACATTTTAAAAGATCTGGTAAATAACTGATTTTAAAAATAATAATAAAGGGGGTTTTTAAAAGAACTGTTTTATTTTTATTTATTTATTCTCCAATTTGACCTGAGACAGAAGAGTATGAGAAAGCAAGCCACCAGGTCTGGGACTCAAACTGCAGTCGGCCATGTGGGAGTCTAGTGCCCCAACCACCACACTACCTACTGGCCCTAATAATAAAGGTTTTTTAAAAATATGCTCTTTCCCAAACAGCCTCCACAAGGTAAATGTGTCTAATATAATTTACCTTGATCTTGGCCACCATAATTTATACCTGAAATATAATTAAATTCTAAACCTACTGAATTTTGCAAACCCCAGTTAATTGATCCAGGCGGTGATCATCATAAATTCCTAATATTTTCAGGGTGCTGTATCATCACCCCATGACATTCATAAATGGGAAAGTATGAGATTATAAGGTGATGATTTGGGCCATTAAACTGAACTAAATTGGTCCAAGCTGGCCACCACACTGAGGTGATAAATTTGGCCCAAAGCAGTGGCCATGTATGCTGAATTACAGCCTACTTGATGTACAAGCAGGTCAGTAACCTAATCTGAGTCATACCTTAGTAACCAAGTAACTGAGCCTCAGCCAATCACAGCAGCTGAACTTCAGCCAATCATAGGCTGCCAAATGATCAGTCTGTGCCCATGTAGGGCAACTGCCAGCTGCAACCAATCAGGTTAATTTTGCATGTCACTTCTTTGGTTTGTATGTCACTTCCGTTTCTCTGACTATAAATGTAATCTGCACAAGTGGTAGGGCAGATTAGTTATTAGTAATTCAGAACTAATTTTGGTTAAGATGGCTACTCATCTTGGGAACCAGCAGTTAGTGTAATGGCTATGTTGCTGGACTCCCACGTAGTCGACCACGGTTCGCATCCCGGACCCAGTGACTTAAAACCCACGCCGGGCGCGTGTGCGTGCATGCCCAAGATCCCAAGAGGAGAATGGAGGAGAAGGGATTGCGGCATGGCCATCCCCCCTGGGGGGGTGATTTCTCGCTTTCTGTCTCTCTGTCTCTGTCTCTGGCGAGCGCACGCACCCTATAGCGAAAACCTCTCAAAAAAAAAAAAAAAAAAAAAGATGGCTACCCAGCTCTAGAACCCACCTCTTGCTCAATTAAACCCTAGTAAGTTCAACTTGTCTCAGGTGTGTCTGTCATCAGGGCACACCACCTGAAACACATTAATCTGTCTTTACAAAACTAAGAGTGAGTCAACAACCTCCCTTCCTTCTGAGGGATTGTAATAGGAAGGTTCTTGCCAAGACAGTTCAGCTTGAACCTCATCCAACTTATAGAGCTAACATTCACCTGCTAGAAATATAAAGGACAGAGAAGTTGAAAGATGTCATAGTGAAGTGATGTGGGATATCCTAAAGAACATTTTATCTGTTTTGTTCAACAGATAAAGAGTGTGAAGAAGGTGAAGGCAGGGAAGAGAATGAAAAGGAATTGGACTGATCATCCAGATTAAGAGGAACTTCAGAGACATTATATGCGCCTTTTTGGATTCTGATTTGAACACTGTATAAAATAATTTTGAGACAATAAAAAAGTATAATGCAAAATAGACTATTAGATAATGTAAAGAGATTACTATTAATTTGTTAGGCATTCTAGTAATATAGCCATTTACGTTAAAAAATGTCCATATTTCTTAGAGTTGCATACTGAAGTGTTTAAGGGTAAAAGATAAGATGTGTCGGGTTTATTTTTAAGTACTTCAGCCAAGGTAAGGTGGGGATATACATGATGGTGGGTATATAAGGCTTCATAAAAGTCTTTACTATTCTTTTGTGTATTTTTGAAATTTTTGTGTTTAAAAAAATGGATTTTTGTAACCTAACAAAATGATCATTAGATTCATATGGAGGAATAAAATACTCAAAACATATTTTTAAAATTATTTATTTAATCATTTTATTTATTGTTTTTTTTTCTTTTTTTTTTTTTTTTGAGGAGAGGTTTTTGCTATAGGGCGCATGCACTCCCCAGAAAGACAGAGAAACAGACAGCGAGAAATCACCCCCCAGGGGGGATGGACACACTGTAATCCCTTCTCCTCCATTCTCCTCCCAGGATCTTGGGCACGCACATACACATGCGCCCTGCATGAGTTTAAGCCACCGGGTCCAGGATTCGAACCACAGTCACCTACATGGGAGTTCAGCAACATAACCATTACGCTAACTGCTGATCCCTTGTTATTATCATTTTTAAATGTGATATAGAACATGTGTGCTCACCAGAAAGAGAGAGGAGGGAGGGAAAGTGCGAAAGCAAGCTGCCAGGTCCAGGACTCGAATGCGGCTGGCCATGTGGGAGTCTAGCACCTTAACCACATGCCACCTTCTGGTCCCCATGATGTGGTTTTTTAATTCATTCTGTTGGTAATAACATGGATACCTCAGTCTAGGGAATTTACGAATAATATAGGTTTATTTAACTCTTGGTTTTGGAGGCTCAAGATCAAGGGGCCATATCTGAGGGTCTTTCCTGCTGGTGGATAACGTGGTTCAGAGCATCACATGGCAAGCCTGAACAAGAGTACACATGTCTGTCCATTTCTGTGTCTGTCTCATTCCTTATCCTTTTCCATGAGGAGTCTGTCATGGTGCTCCACCCTGATGACTTTAATCCTGGTCACCTCCCAAAGACTCCAGCTCTTAAACCCATTGTCAGATGTTTTTCACCCTCTTAATGCTATCACAACCAAATTTCATCACATGAATTTGGGGCAGACACATTCAAACCAAAATTTTAGATTAATGAACAGTGACAAATATCACTAGCCACCGAAATGGACTGTGATTCTACAATAATTAGCAGCACTAGCACAAGAAGCAGCAAAGGAAACTCAGAACCAGCCCCTACTATGTGTCAGTCTTGAATTTATTTTGTTTAGAGAGATTTTTGCTGTAGGGTGCATGCACTGGAAAGACAGAGATAGAAAGAAAGTGAGAAATCAACCCTCCCGGGAGATGGCCTCACCACAATCTCTTCTCCATTTTCCTCTTGGGATTTGGGGCACTCACGCACTCATGCCCAGCGTGAGTTTGAAGCAGCCGGGTCTGGAGCTTGAAAAACAGTTGGCCATGTGGGGACTCAAGCAACGTAACCAGTATGCTATCTGCTGGTCCCTTGACTTAGCATTTTCTACAATTCACTCTAAGAGAGAGAGCCGTCAGAGCTGTGAACCCGCGATGCACATACAGATCGTTATCATTGCTTTATTTATGAAAGAGAACATCGGAAACCTACAAGTTGCGTAAGAGAGGACTGGTTACATATGTTTGACATATTAATCTTACAAAATACCAGATAGCCTATAGAAAACATAATGTTTAGAGAATATTCCCCGACACAGGAAAGTGTTTACAAAACCATCTTAATTGGAAAAGCATTTCTTCAATGAATACATATAATTTTCAGTCAGGAAAAACAATAGCCCATGAAGTTTTCTTCATAATAAAGCTGCTAGGGAGGTGCCAGCGTTCCAAAAGTAACACTAGATCATGAAAGACAGGGTCCCTGTTTTTCTAAGAGCTTAGAAGGTAGCACAGGGAATTCAAATTAAACTCAAGGAAGACATTGACTATGAGAGCTGTCCTGGATTGCAATGAGTGAGTGAGACAAGCCCTGGAATGTCACCTTCCTTTCTGTAGGTCAGATAAAGTATGGTCCTGCTTTCAAGGCCCAGGAACAGGATGGGGATGAAAGACAGGCAATGGAGGAAGTTCCAGCTTAGTCAGGAATTAGTTATTGTCCTTGGGCCGGTCCCCTCCCATCTCTGGCTTAGTTTCCTCATCTTTCAAATGAGAGGATGGCTTTGATCACCAATGCAAATAGAGTACTATTGTCCTATGGGGTTTCTGTTAGGGTTCAATATCCCTTCCAAAAACTGGTGATGGTATTAAGAGGTGGGGGCCTTTAGGAGGTGATTATGTTATCATCTCGAGAATGGACTAATGCTCTTATCAGGAGAGTGGATTCGTTATCTTGGGCATTCTCTCAGTCTTGCCCACACAAAGCCTTATGCCACATTTCAGTGTAGCAGGAAGGCCCTCACCAGATGTGGCCCCTTAGTCTTGGACTCCCCAGCCTCCAGAACCATGGACCAAATAAAACATCTTTCTTTCTAAATTACCCAATCAATGGCTTCAGTTATAGCAACAGAAAATAGACTAAGATGCCAAGACACCTTAAGACCCCAAGTCTCAGACA